GAGGGGGGGGGGGGGGGGGGGCGGGAAAGAGGATTTGTGACTAAAGAGGATTTGTGTAGGCTAAACATTGAAAAAAATATCGTGACTTACATTACTTTTTTTGTGGGTGATTAGTGTGAAGAAGGTGTTACAAATAACCATAGTTGTTTGTTTTTTTTTTTTACAAAACTGCTTATCTTTTCCGTTGCAGATAGTCTCGACTCTTAACGCTTGCGTCAACACAAATAATATGCTACAGACCAGGGGTTCTTACCATTTTATTTCTCTGAAACCCTTAACCTTTTTAAAGATTTTACATACTAAGGACTTATGTTGAAATTACAAATGAAATGCAGCTTACGAACCTACATAACCTTTTTACGGACCAATGGATCAAAGGTTAAGAAACCCTTCTGTAGAAAAAATGCCTCATACCTATAACATTTTAACAAGAATATTTTTCCCTCATAGAGTTAGCTTTGTTTATTGACAATAGTATTTTGAAAAGTTAAGAAATTATGTAGACTTAACTAAGCAGAATCTGCTGTGTCGTTTTAGTTGCTCTTAATTAAGATGTTATACAATTAATGAAATAAATACTGTTTTAATTGCAGATTAAAAAAAAAAAAAATCGGATAAATGTTCAAATTTGAGTGTATTTCTGGGCTGTTTTCTGGCATATGGGGGTGTGAGGTCAATTTTCCTACCCTGCTTTGGCGCGCCTAAAAAGAGCAGGTTCATAACAGAGATGAAACAGATGCATTTACTAAAAGAAATTTTCGGGACAAGTTAGCATGTTCTTAGCCTTTACAGAAGTAATGATATATTATATTGACCCTTTGGTATTATTTTCATCATTTTTGGAGTTGTTGAGAATATTAGGTATTGGTAATGCATGTTGTTTTAACTTTTTGAACATTTCCTTTTTTTTTTTTTTTTTTAATTGCTTGAACATTCAAATTTAAAAAAATAAAATAAATTCCTACTTCAGAAAAGTGTGTCTCAAGAAATAAAAATGTAAAGTAAAATCTTTTAATTTTTTCTTTTTTTTCTTTTTCTTTTTTTTTTTTTTTTTTTTTAATTGCATGAACATTCAAATTTAAAAAAATAAAATAAATTCCTACTTCAGAAAAGTGTGTCTCAAGGAATAAAAATGTGAAGTCAAATCTTTTAAAGCAATTGACAAAAAAACAACAACTGCACTTGGTATGAAGGTATCCCTCATTATACTACTCTATACGCCAACAAAAATGTGAAGATTTTAACTGTAAATAATGCCTTGGTCATTATTTTAGAGACTTAAAACATTACATTCAAGGAAATCACACAATTCTAAAAAAACAAAACACTTTTATATTGTAAAAGTACATTAGGACTCATCTCTTTATTTCAAGACAGCATTTGAGCGAACAATGACAATTCAAAGGGAGCAAGCCCTATGAAAAGAAACATAAGCATCATCATTTAAACTTAAACCTTTATAATATGCATTTTTAAAAAAATAATTAAACAATGTTAACACTCTAACCATAGAATGTGAGACACTAAAACGGAATTGTTAAAAAATATATTTAAAAAATACAGCAGTCAGTGAAATCTAACACCAAAAATGGGCATGCACACCTGTTTTGTGTACTCTTAGTCAATACCACTTGAGTGACATTCAAGCAGAATAAAACACAAACACTGAACACAAAATTGTCAATAATAAAAGACAACACTGTGAACTGAATTGAACATTAAAATATGTTAACAGGGGTACTCAACTCCATTGAATACATTTATACATAGATGGTGGCATGAGTTTTTACAGCAGGTAGCCTATGATCCAGTGCCTCCAAAGCTTTCCCCTGTGAGGAATTGATGACTGTAATCAAGTTAATGGAAACATAATAGTATTCATAGGACACTTTAAAAGAAAAATATATATTTATTAAAAAATGTTGGTTTAAGGAAAATTAAGCATGGGATTTAAAATTGGTAGCTGCCAGTTAGGTGTTTTATTTAAGATGCACCACAAAGATGAATACTAGAACATTATTTGATAACTTCATTGTTATATTTTATCAAATGTATCCAAAGCTCACAGTTAACAGAAGCTTGTTTCTTATTTCAGAAGATGCTATGCCAGTGTGATTGTTGAGTGCACCCGATAATAAATTTATAAGCAAATCACAGAAAATTTGAATATTGTCATATGGACAGATTTAATTTATACATAAAGATATATAATTATATATTTTCATAAAATTATTAAGTTGATTATTCACTTCATTTTTTTTTAATGTAATCTGAAAAGCAAAAAATCCCTTTCAAAAAATAATTATGAATGAGTCTACCTTTTAAAATTTATTTTTCTTGTTTAAACAAAAATAACCTTTTTAAATTTATAAAAAATTTAGTGACCTAGAGCTAATGCCATAAACTAAATATAAACATCAGTTATCAAAATATTTCTCTCTAATAGCATGTTTGTCATGTCATTTATGTAAACTGAGATCAAACGGAGAAGGTTAATATTTAAGATTGAAATAAAGACTAGTGAAGTTTTTAAACGCAAATCAAACATACTTGATCTAATAAGTTACTGTTATAGTAAATTGTCCAAAACATGAAACAGCACAAACTTGTAAGTGTGAAGCCATTTGTTTCTTATATCTAGACATTTATGATAAACTTTTTCAGGAGAGAAAATGCTTATATACTGAAGTGAATAGAGATAGTCATTGACAGATTTCTAATTAACACCACAAAGGAAAAAAAGAAGGGTGCCAGATTATTTTCAGGAAGTTGTTAAAAATACAGATGAAAAAGACACAAATGTGGTCATTATGGAGCAAGTGAAACTTGCCAAAACTTCAAGCTCCTAATCCAAATTATCAGTTGCTTTTTTCTCATAAACCTTTAAAAAAAGTTTAGTCAAACATAGATATAGCATCATTCTTGTAATGTATCAAACATTCAGGATCCAAAATTAAGTTTAAAAATATAGTTTTAAGAAATAAAATTATTTACTTTCCTTTAATTTCTCTAAATAAAGAAGGAAAAAAAAAAGAAGTATCTCTAACTTATGGACAGAATTCAAGTGAAAACATATTAAGAAAGGCATACAAAGAAATTTTTTGGTTATGTACACTCCTGGAAACAGAAGCAAAATGAATAGCCGACATTAAAAGTTGAGGTTGACATATCCCGTTCATGGCAAGAAATAGCCAAAACCCCTCACCTTTAGATTACATTTCAAAATCGGGTGTTTTTTTAAAACATTATTTCCAGAAAAGTTTTGAAAAACTTTTTAGTATATTAACTACCATTCTTTAAAAACAGCAAGACTTCACTATGATAAAGATGTAGTGCATCTCACTACAATGACTCCCTACATTTTCTTTTTTCTATCATTTAGAAAATTGTCTGACTGAAGCCAATGAAACCTTAAAGTAAACAAGGTTTTCCAAAGTTTTCTTAAAAAATTAATAATGAAGCGAAATATATTTTCATCACTCAAATCAATCAATACTAACTACTATTTTTTTTTAAGGATTCAATTGGTTGTGTATAACTTGACTAAATATTTTTAAATATTTATTCCATTTATCATAGTGGTTTATATTAAATCAATAGCAGAAAGGAAAAAATGCTCTCAGAAAAAGGATACTTAATGCTATGAATATTTTTATTAAAATATCCTTAATCTTTATATAAAAACTGCTCATTAATAGAGACCAGAATTAATAAATGGCATTGTAATTGTATTGTTGAGAAAATATTTCTAATCAAACAAAATGAAATCTAAGCACTAAGACTATCGGTACTTCAAGTGTCTGAGAAAAGAAAAAAAACAGCATGCATCTGTATTTAACAGGTAATTGTATTTCTGGAGTTGAAGTGTTTAAAACATATTTTTGAAAGATAAACAAGTCTCTTAATGCATGGTGAAAATTTATTTGTGAAATACATTTCAGAAACTTAACATATTTACACATGGTTTTCATGTTAATTTTTACCTCAAAAAAAATATTTCCTATTATAATTGTTAAATAACAGAATATCATATGAAATTTCATGGATCAACTATTTTGAAAATAATTTTTTTATTACAACCAAGTCTCATTCTACTGAGGCTTCAGAAGCTCAAGAATATCATATGAAATTTCATGGATC